ACTTGCTCCCTTCCCCCAGGGCCGCTGCGGCAGAGTTTGAGACTGGAAGGGCAGCCAAGCAGCTCTCTGGCGAGAGTGAGTTATGGTGTCCTTTCCTACAAGCGCGCGGCACGTCATACGGCAAAGCTCAAGGCTAAGAGAGTGCTTGTGGGGGGGGGATTTTGGACACGCCCCCCCTCTTGTTGGACGGACAAAAGCGGTTTCCCCAAATTCTTCCGAATTTCCCCCGCCAGTTGCATCCGATTCAAGACACAATTTCTGGAATCCAGAATTAAGAAGGGGGAATGGGGGGGGGACCCTCCGAGGTCTTCTAGTCCGACCGCAGACACACACACCCCCCCCACGGGGGAAAGCCAGGTTTGCTTAACAACGACGTCGCTGACTGCGAACAACCGCAGTGGTGCGCTGAACAAAACGGCGCAAGAGAAAGGCGTAAGATGGGGCGAAGCGCGCTTCGCTGCTATCTCACTTAGCAACCGAAATTTTGATTCCATTGTGGTTGTAAGTCGAGGACTACCTGTGTGTGTGCGTGCATGTGTGTGTGTGTGAGCGAGAGAGAAAGAGAGAGAGAGCACACACACATATAAACAGACACATTTATACATGTATGGTGTATATATGTATATATGTATATATATACATATATACACACATATATACATATATGCATATACACACACATCTCTATATATACACACACATGTGTTTACAGAGAGAGAGAGATGGAAAGAGATATGGAGAGAGAGCGATATGGAGATAGATTAGATGATAGATAGATAGATAGATAGATAGATAGATAGATAGATAGATAGATAGATAGATATGGAGAGAGAGATGGAGATAGATTAGAGAGAGAGAGAGAGAGAGAGAGAGAGAGATGGAGAGAGAGAGATGGAGATAGATTAGATAGATAGATAGATAGATAGATAGATAGATAGATAGATAGATAGATAGATAGATAGATATGGAGAGAGATATGGAGGTAGATAGAGAGAGAGAGATGGAGAGAGAGAGATGGAGATAGATAGATAGAGAGAGAGAGAGAGAGAGAGAGATGGAGAGAGAGATGGACATAGATTAGAGAGAGAGAGAGATGGAGAGAGAGATATGGAGATAGATTAGATAGATAGATAGATAGATAGATAGATAGATAGATAGATAGATAGATAGATAGATAGATAGATAGATATGGAGAGAGAGATGGAGATAGATTAGATAGATAGATGGAGAGAGAGAGATGGAGATAGATAGAGAGAGAGATGGAGAGAGAGAGATATGGAGATAGATTAGATAGATAGATAGATAGATAGATAGATAGATAGATAGATAGATAGATAGATAGATAGATAGATAGATATGGAGAGAGAGATGGAGATAGATTAGATAGATAGATGGAGAGAGAGAGATGGAGATAGATAGAGAGAGAGATGGAGAGAGAGAGATATGGAGATAGATTAGATAGATAGATAGATAGATAGATCTGTCTATCATCTAGCTATCATATAGAGATATAAATAAATAGAGAAGAGAGAGAGAGATTAGAGATAGATGATAGGTAGATAGAGAGATAGAGAGATGTAGAGATATAGATAGATAATAGAGAGATAGAGAGATAAATAGAGATATAAAAGTAGGTTTCTTTTTTATTCTGGAAATGCAAATCAGCATCAAAAGCTCACGCGATCCGGCTTGTGCAAATTGGTTGAAGATTCTTCCCCGCCAGAACTGATTTTTTTCTTTTTCTTTTTTTTCTTTTGCTTAATATTCTGAATAAACAGAGCCTTCTTTCCTTCCTTCGCTGGGAGAGAAACAGCTCTTTCCACTTAGAGAAATCTTTAAGCAGGCACAGAGGCATTTATCTCCATACAAATGGCTGTAATCCGTGCCGGATCGATCTTTTTTTTTTCCCCTCCTTCTCTCTTTCTCTCTCTCTCTCCTTCTAATTACTTTTTTTTCCTTTTCTTCTTTAATGCTCCCAGAATTTGCAAAACGCCGAAGGTAGCTTCAGAGGAGGCAGAGGTGATAGTGGTGTGGGTTTTTTTGCCTCAACCTGTTCCGCCGTGCCTGCCTCGCAGGGCCGTTGTAAAAAAAAATTAAGTCATTGCCATCGCTGGCGTTTTTTTCCCCCATTCCGGCTTCTCTTTTTTAAATTTTATTTTTATTTATTAAACGTTGCGTGCCGCCAGTTCTGGCTGTAAAGTGACTCTTGGCTTGGAATAGAGCAGTTGGGGATAAACCAGAAGGGGTTTCAGTCTAGGCGTTGCCCCCCACCAGAGGGTCAGAGTTCCTCTGAACATGTGCAGAGTGCTTTTTTTCCTTCACCCTCTCTCTCTCTCTCTCTCTTTCCCCTTTCAAGTCCTCTCTTCCCAGTCTCTGTGAATCCCTCTCTCTCTCTCTCTTGTTCTCCTTGTCTGCCAGAAGATTGAAATGGCTGTCTTTACCTCTGCACATGTGCAGAATGTTTTTTTTCTCTCTCTCTCTCTCACTCTATTCTTTCTTTTTCTTTCTGTTTCTGTTTCTCTCTTTTTTCTCTGTCTTTTTCTTTCTTTCCTTCCTCCCTCCCTCCCTCCTTCCTTCTCCTTTAATTGTCCTTCCTTCCTCCCTTCCTCTCTCCCTCCCTCCACTTTCTTTCAATCTTTCCTTCCCTCCCCTCTAATTCTCCTTCCATCCATCCATCCTTCACTTGTTTCCTTCCTTCCTTTCTCTCTCTCTTTTTCTTTCTCTCCTTCTCCCTCCCTCCACTTTCTTTCAATCTTTCCTCCCCTCCCCTCTAATTCTCCTTCCATCCATCCATCCATCCATCCATCCTTCACTTGTCTCCTTCCTTCCTTCCTTCCTTCCTTCCTTCCTTCCTTCCTTCCTTCCTTCCTTCCTTTCTCTCTCTCTCTCTCTTTCTTTCTTTCTCTCTCTCCTTCTCCCTCCCTCCCCTCCCATCTTCGCAGTTTGGCGCTCCATCTTTTCCTCCCTCCCCAGTCTGCCAGACGACTGACATTGCTGCCTCTGGGCATGTACAGAGTGTTTTCCCCCACACATACTCCTTTTTCCCCCCCTTTTCTACGGCTTTTCTCCTACCCTTTGAGAATTAAAGCCGGGGGGGGGGGAGAGAGAAAATCTTGTTCTGGAGAACGGTAAGCGGGATTAAATTTGTGTTTTTCTCACTCCCAGCTTCTGGCTGGGTGTCAGATCCGTGCACGCTCGGCTTCCCCCTTGGGAGAAGCGTCTCTCTAACCCTTCGCTTGATTAGCGGGCCTGTTTACCAGCCTGCCTGTGGTTTAATAAGCCCCATGGCAGGAGACGCTCTCTTGGGGTGGGGGGGCCGCGAGAAGCCCCAGCGGCCCCCCCTCCCCAGAGGGAAACGACTGGGGTGTTCTCCGCACACGACAAGCGGTTTTGCGCTGCTGGCGCGTTGCAAAAGCTCGCTCGAAATGTCTTTATACACCTGCTCGAGCAGGCCGAAATTCCACAGGTGACGTTGCGAGCGGCCCCTGTCAACAAGCCGTGTTTTGCAAGGCAAAGAGTCTCCTGGGGCGGGGGCAGGGCAGGGGGGGAAAGGGATAGAGCCTCCTGAGTAGAGGCAGTCTACCTGCACTCTCCCGGCACCCAACAGGAGGCGGGAGGCGTGGCCTCTTAAAGGGGAGGAATACACCTGCTCGAGCAGGCCGAAATTCCACAGGTGACGTTGCGAGTGGCCCCTGTCAACAAGCCGTGTTTTGCAAGGCAAAGAGTCTCCTGGGGTGGGGGGGCGGGGCAGCGGGGAAAGGGATAGAGCCTCCTCGAACAGAGGCAGTCTACCTGCGCTTTCCCGGTCCCCCGAAGCAGGCGCAAAGGAAGGGGCCCTCTCTTCTGATAGGTGACTCAGGAAGGGGAGGAACGGGGGCAATTTTTACGAACCGTCCTTTGCTCCTCCGTTGTTAAGGGGATCACCGCCACCGCGGTAAAGTCGTTCAGCGGATCCGTTGGCTTTGCTGGTTGGACGATCACAAAAGGGGAATCGCGCGACACCGCCACCCCCCGCGGCCGTCATAAAGACGAGCCGGTTGCCTTCAGCGTCCGGATTTTGATCGCGTGTCCGCGGGGACGGTGTGAAAACTGCTCCGAAGTCACTGTTTTCAGTGTCGTGAAATCACCATCATCATCTTCTTCTTCGTTTAACGATCCCATAATCCCTTGCGGGGTGGAATCTGAGCAACTGAATGGAGCTAGCAGAGTATTTTACTGGCCGGATGCCTTTCCTGTTTGCCAGGGCGGAGTTTTGTCCAGCAGATAATATTCTCATTGTGCCCAGAGAGAGAGAGAGAAATATCTGCTTCCACCTAGGATCGAACTCACAGCCTCCTGATGGTGAGGCCAGAGCTCCACCTCTAGGCCACCGCACCACTCCTCCGAACGGTCACTAAATGAACCGTTGTAAGTCCAGGACCACCTAAACATTTCTGTTTGCAAGTCTTTCTACATTCCTACTCTGCTGTCTCCAGCGACCGCCACGTCCGGTATCCTATAGGATTATGTATTTCAACGCAGCGAGGCCGAGCCGTAAAGCTCACAGGGCAAACCACGATGCCCGTGCCCCCCCCCCCCGCCCCCCCGGTGCCAAGCTGCCCAACCACACGGCTTGACGGTGCCAACAGAGGCAGGATCTGACTCAATTCCTGCTTGGGTTTTTCGCAGGCCGCTCGCCAAACGAGCGGGGCCCGTCGAGGCTTGTCAAGAGACCTAAATCCACGGGAACATTCCCAGGCGTAGATCTTAGGCTGGTGGGAAGAGCTGGCATGTTCCAGAAACTTGGCCTGGCAGATGCTTTGGGAGAGAAGATGGCACGGGGCCCGAACGGGAATGGCTGCAGGCAGTTCCGGAGCAGGGCGATTCACCCCAATTTCGAGCATCTCCTCTTCTTCCAGCCGACGGGAGGCGGGGAGGAGGGGGGGAAAAACAACGCCTCCACGCCGGATTCTTTTCCAATATTATTTTCGGTTTTTTTTTCAATTCCGAAGAGGCAGCAGATGGTCAGAGATTTGGTTTTCCTGGGACGAGGTGCCTTTGCCAAGAAAGCCAAGCTGGAGAAACGAGGGGCTCGAAAAACACCGCTTCGGAACATGCACGGAGGGCCCCTCGGAACCTGCGGCTCGGAAATCTCCCCGCAGCGCAATCCCGTTCTCCGGATTGTGCTCCGGATGTTCCCGACACGCCAGAGGTGGGGTTTCAGCAGGTTCGGACCAGTTCTGGGGAACCGGTAGCGGAAATGTTGAGTAGTTCGGAGAACCGGTAGCGGAAATGTTGAGTAGTTCGGAGAACCGGTAGTAAACATTCTGACTGGCCCCGCCTGCGTCTATTCTCTGCCTCCCGAGTTCCAGCTGATCGGGAGGAAATGGGGATTTTGCAGTAACCTTCCCCTGTGGGAAGGTGTGGCTTGGTGGGCGTGGCTTGGTGGGCATGGCAAGGGAAGGATACTGTAAAATCTCCATTCCCTCCTGATCAGCTGGGACTCGCGAGGCAGAGAATAGATGGGCCAGTCAGAATTTTTACTACCGCTTCTGTGGGTGTGGCTTGGTGGCCCCATCCCCACCCCACCTCCAGGGGAAGGATGCTGCAAAATCCCCATTTCCTCCCGATCAGCTGGGACTCGGGAGGCAGAGAATAGATGGGGGAGGCGAGGCCAGTCCGAATTTTTTACTACCAGTTCTCCGAACTACTCAACATTTCCGCTACCGGTTCTCCAGAGCTGGTCAGAACCTGCTAAAACCCACCTCCGGCGCGGCAGCAGTGCCGAAAACCCCGCCGCTCAGCTGATCGTCGGACGCATACACACGCTAAAACCTGGAAGTTCGGCTTTTCCGGAGGGCAGTCCCTACAAGGGCGTGCGCGCACATGCGTGCCTGATATTTCCACGCGACCTTTTTGGCACTCGGTGCCGAAAAAGGTTTCGCCATCCCTGCCTTGTGGGCGGGCGGGGACGGGCCCACTACCGGTACGAACCGGCTGAATTCCACCTCTGGGTTCGGCAGTTTTGCAAGGCGGTTTAGGCCCCTGACGGAGGCCGAAAGATGATTTGGAGAAGGGGAAGGAAGAGAAAGAGAGAGAGGGAGAGAGAGAGAGAGAGGATCTTTTTGATTTGATTTGATTTCTTTTCTTTCCCCGACCTCAATGCACCATTGCAGATGTCACCGCCGTTCCTGTCCTTCATGCCACGCCGTTTTTTTCGCGGAAGCGAATTAATTGGCGAGCCTTGGGCTCGCCGTGTATGCGCGCACCCCCGTGTGTGTGTGTGTGTCAGCGGGCCGCGTCTCAGGCTGTCACAATTATCAAAGCGGCCCCCCGATTAGAGCCGGCGGGGGTCTCCCCGGAGCAGATCAGAGCCTGGCTTGTGACACAGGATCAGCGTAATGGAGGCTCCCAAGAGAGACTCCCGGTTGCCGGAATTGAGTAACAGGATTAGCGGTGGTGGAAGCAGAGGGGGGGGAAGAAATGGGGGGTGGATTTCTGGACCCCCGCCAGCCAGCGTGCAAAACCTCGCAGCCCCTAGCCTTAGCGTCCTCTGGAACGGCAGGGCCCATCATCCTCGGCCCACGGGCTAGGTTCCCCTTGAAATTGCCTTGCAGGGGTCGAAGCTGGAACAGGATGCAAGAGCTGGCGTGAGGATGAAACAGAAGGACGTTGGGAAGGGAAGGGAGGAGATAACTAAGATGGTAGCTTGTGGTTTGTGGGGTGGGGTGGTCTTTCCTGAGTATTTTTATTTTTATTTTAGTTTTATTTAGTTTTGCGGGTTTAGATTTTACGGTTCGTAGCTCTATGGGCTCTTCAGATGGGGAGGGAGGGAGGGAGGGAGAGAAAGAAGGGAAGAAGGAAGGGGAAGTGGATAGGGAGGGTGGGCGGGTGAAGAGGAAAGAAAGGAGGAGAGAGGGAGGAGGAGGAGGAGGGGATGAGGAAGGAAGGAAGGAGTGAAAAGGAAAGAAAGAGGAAGAAAGGAGAGAGGGAGGAGGAGGTGAGGAAGAAAGGAAGGAGTGAAAAGGAAAGTAAGAGGAAGAAAGGCGAGGGGGAGGAGGAGGTGAGGAAGAAAGGAAGGAGTGAAAGGGAAAGAAAGAGGAAGGAAGGAGGAGAGAGGAAGGGGGAGGAGGGGATGAGGAAGGAAGGGAGGAGTGAAAAGGAAAGAAAGAGGAAGGAAGGAGAGAGGGAGGAGGTGAGGAAGAAAGGAAGGAGTGAAAGGGAAAGAAAGAGGAAGGAAGGAGGAGAGAGGAAGGGGGAGGAGGGGATGAGGAAGGAAGGAGTGGAAAGGAAAGAAAGAAAGGAAGAAAAGATGAGAAAGGAGGAGGAGTGGGTGAGAAGGAACAAGAGAGGGGTAGGAAGGGAAGGAAGGAAGGAAGATTGGAGGGGGGAAGGAAGGAAGGGTCGATAGGGAGGACAAGTGGGTAAAAAGGAAAGAAAGAGGAAGAAAGGATGAGAAAGGAAAGACGGAAGGAGGAGGAGTGGGGGAGAAGGGAGGGAAGGAATAGGATGAGAACAGAAGGAAGGAAGGGAGAGAAAGTGGATGAAGAAGGAAAGAAGGAATAGAATAAGGTTGGGAGGAAGAGAGGGAGGAAAGGAGGATGAGGACGGAAGGAAAGAAGGAAGAGAAGAAGATGAAGGAAGAAAGGAAGGAAGGAATAGGATGAGAACAGGAGGAAGGAAGAGAGAATGGATGAAGAGGGAAAGAAGGAATGGGATAAAGAAGGAAGGAAGGAAGGAAGGAAGGAAATAATTAATAAATAAATAAATAAATAAATAAATAAATAAATAAATGAATGAATGAATGAATGAATGAATGAATGAATGAATGAATGAATGAATGAATGGGGAAGGAAGCCTTTGGGCCACCTCAACAGAGGAAGAAGAAGCAGGAGGGCAAGAGGAAAACTGTTTGGCCCATGATGTCTCCAGATCTCTCTCTCTCTCTCACACTCACACACACACACACACAGACACACAAACACAATTACCTGCTTTTCCTCCGGAGCTCCCTTGCCTTAATTGCCTTGCAAAGATTGCAATTAGTGCCTCTTGACATCGTGAGCATCTTTGCTGCTCCTTCAAACAGCCCCTGCAGGGAAGGAGGCCTGGCTTGTCCTCCAGAGCCCAAAATCCCCCCTGGTCCTTTGCGAACCGACCCCGGGGGGGGGGGGGGGGCAGAGAAGCTGCTCCCTCGGTGGCGGCAACGCTTCTCAACCTGAAGGCAGGTGCTAAGGGTAAGCAGCGGGAGATCAGAAATATCAGCAGGCTTTAAGACGGGTGGACTTCCACTCCCAGAATCCCCCAGCCAGCATGCTTTCTTTCTTTCTTTCTTTCTTTCTTTCTTTCTTTCTTTCTTTCTTTCTTTCTTTCTTTCTTTCTTTCTTTCTTTCTTTCTTTCTTTCCTTCCTTCCTTCCTTCCTTCCTTCCTTCCTTCCTTCCTTCTTTCTTTCTTTCTTTCTTTCTTTCTTTCTTTCTTTCCTTATTGAATTTGTATTGAATTTATGTTGGGTGGACTTCAACTCCCAGAATCCCCCAGCTAGGCATGCTTTAAGATGGGTGGACTTCAATTCCCAGAATTCCCCAGCCAGCATGCTTTAAGACGGATGGACTTCAACTCCCAGAATCCCCCAGCCAGCATGCTTTAAGACGGATGGACTTCAACTCCCAGAATCCCCCAGCTAGGCAGGCTTTAAGAGGGGTGGACTTCAACTCCCAGAATCCCCCAGCCAGCAGGCTTTAAGAGGGGTGGACTTCAATTCCCAGAATTCCCTGCCAGCGTGCTTTAAAATGGGAGGACTTCAACTCCCAGAATCCCCCAGCTAGGCATGCTGTAAGATAAATGGACTTTGACTCTCAGAATTCCCCAGCCAGAACACATTATTATTTATTTATTTATTTATTTATTTATTTATTTATTTATTTATTTTTATTTATTTATTTATTTATTTATTTATTTATTTATTGAATTTGTATTGAATTTATGATGGGTGGACTTCAACTCCCAGAATCCCCCAGCCAGTATGCTTTAAGAGTGAACTTCAATTCCCAGAATCCCCTGCCAGCCTGCTTTAAAATGGGAAGACTTCAACTCCCAGAATCCCCCAGCCAGCATGCTTTATGATTGGTGGACTTCAACTCCCAGAATCCCCCAGCCAGCATGCTTTAAGATGGGAGGACTTCAACTCCCAGAATCCCCCAGCCAGCCTGCTACAAGTCCACACTTTTTAAAGTAGCAGAGGTTAAGAAACATTCCTGCAGAATCAGAAATGCAACCCTTCTCTTTCCTGGACCGCGCTGTGAAGCCCCATCTCTCTGCCCAGTGGGGCCAAGCATGATGGGGTCTGGAATTCCCCCTCTGCTGGCCAAAAAGGTCACCAAAGGGGGATCACATCCCCCCCCCAGGGACACTGCGACTGTCATAAATACGAATCCATTGCCAAGCATCTGATTTTTTTTGATCGGGGATGCTGCGACGGTCACAAGTGTGAAAAACCCTCCCAAGTCGCTTTTTTTTCCCACTTCGAACGGTCACTAAACGAACTGTCGTAAGCGGAGGACCACCATACGCAAAGATGCGGTTATATATTATGTTGCTTTTTCCTCTCTTTTTTTCCCCCCCCACTTCCTTAGAAGGTACCGAAAAACGGCTTTATTGCAGAAACGTTTGCAATAAAAAATATTATATATATATATATATATATATATAATTTTAATTTGGTCTTTTTAAATTCCATTCTGAAAACATGTGAAACGCGGTAAACAGAAGGAACAGCCACGTTTAGACAGCAACGGGGGGTCGCCTGCCAAAAATCCGGAGGGAAAAAAAAAATCATACAAATTGTTCTGAACTGTCAGGGAGGAAGGGAGGGAAAGGAAGGAAAGAAAGGAAGGAAGGAAGGAAGAAAGAAAAAAAAAAGAACAGGGTTTGAATCATAGTTTACCAAATCGGCTTGTCCGAGACCTTGGCGGCTTTTCACGGTGGGCTCAAAACAAACCCACCCCCCTTAATTAAATTCCCTTCGCGTAAATCAAGTTATTTTAAAGAAAATCGATGGGTGCGCATCGCAACGAATGAAGGGGACGTGGGGTGGAGGAGGAGGAGGAGGAGAAAAAAAATGTGTCGCTTCTGGAACCCGGATCTGGGCAAGTGGGATTGGGGGGGGGAAGAGGGGGGGGGGGGTTTTCCGTCGGATGGGTGAAGGCTGTGACAACCTTGTGGCTACTCGGAGCAAGAGGACTGCAGATGGATGTCCGGTCCAATTTTAGGAGCTGTCCATCACCGGGGGGTGGAGGGGGAGAGGTTGGAGGGACCCCCCCCCGGCAGTTTGAGAAACACTGATGTCATTTAAAAGCAAGGACATTCCAGAGCGAGTCGGGCCTGTTTTTTGGATAAATCGATTATAAAGTATAAAGGTTCTTTTTTTTTTTCCTGCCCCCCCAAATAAATAATGCCAGGCTTGGACAAGGAGGTTGTGTATAGGTCAGCTTGGCTGAGACAGAAAGGATGAATGGGGAAATGATAAATTCGTTCCTTTCTTCCTTATTTATTTATTTATTTATTTATTATTAATTCAATTCATATGCCGCCCTTCTCCGGAGACTCAGGGCGGCTTCCTTCCTTCCTTCCTTCCTTCCTTCCTTCCTTCCTTCCTTCCTTCCTTCCTTCCTTCCCTTCTTTTCAACCACTCCTCTTTATAACTCTTCCCTTCCCTTCCTTTTTTCCTTCCTTCTTTCTTTCCTCCCTTCCATCCTCCTCTTCTCTTTCTTTCTTTCTTTCTTTCCTTCCTTTTCACCCACTCCTCTTCGTCTTTATTTGTCTTCTCTTTCCTTGCCTTGTCTTTCCTTCTCTTCCCTTCCCTTCTCTTCCCTTCCTCCTTTCCTTTCCTTTCCTTCTTCCTCCTTTCCTTTCCTTTCATTCCCTTCCCTTCTCTTTTCTTCCCTTCCTCCTTTCCTTTCCTTCTTCCTCCTTTCCTTTCCTCTCCTTTTTCCTTTCCTTTCCTTCCCTTCCCTTCCCTTTCCTTTCCTTCTTCCTCCTTTCCTTTCCTTTCCTTCTTCCTCCTTCCTTTCCTTCCCTTCCCTTCCCTTCCCTTCCCTTCCTCCTTTCCTTTCCTTCTTCCTCCTTTCCTTTCCTTTCCTCTCCTTTTTCCTTTCCTTTCCTTTCCTTTCCTTTCCTTTCCTTTCCTTTCCTTTCCTTTCCTTTCCTTGTCTTTCCTTTCCTCCTTCTTCATCTCCTCCTCCTTTTTTTCCTTCTTTCTTCTCACCCATTCCTCCTCTATCAACTCTTCCCTTTCCCTTCCTTCCATCCATCCATCCATCCATCCATCCATCCATCCATCCATCCATCCATATCTTCTCTTTCTCCTCTCTTTCTTTCCTTCCTTCTTTTCACCCACTCCTCCTCCATGTCCTTCCTTCCTCCCTCTCTCCCCTCTCTTATTTCTCTGATTTTTTTCCCCCTTGCAATCTCTCTTTCCAGAGGGAGAGGGGGAAAGAACTTCTGTACATGCACAGATACCCCAGTTTGAAAAACTCCTCGTGGGAAGCTCCTTCCTCAGCCTAACTCCTCCTGGCTCTTCCCAAGCTAACCTTCTCCTCCTTCTCTTCCTTCTCCAGCTTACGGCGAGAAGGTTACACGGTCCAGGTGAATGTCAACGACTACCTGGACATCTACTGCCCACATTACAACACCTCGGTGCCCGAGGGGCGCATGGAACAGTACATCCTCTACATGGTGAGCCTGGAGGGGTACCAGACATGCGACATCAGCCACGGCTTCAAACGCTGGGAATGCAACCGGCCTCGCGCCCCACACAGCCCCATCAAGTTCTCGGAGAAGTTCCAGCGTTACAGTGCCTTCTCACTGGGTTATGAGTTCCACGCTGGCAACGAATATTACTACATCTGTGAGTCGGCCGTCTTTCTCTCCTTTGCCCTAACGTTTCATCGGTGGGATGTGTTTTTCCTTTGGGTTGCAATCCAAAAACTTATAAGTAACTGATAAGCATTTAGCAATAGGACTTAGACTTGTGGGCAGAATCAGCCTGCAATATTGAATTCTAACAGGAGGGAAGGAGGGAGGGAGGAAGGAAGGAAGGAAGGAAGGAAGGAAGGAAGGAAGGAAGGAAGGAAGGAAGGAAGGAAGGAATAGCAATAGCACTTAGACTTATATATCGCTTTTACAGCCCTCTCTAAGCGGTTTAGAGTGTCAGCCTCTTGCCCCCAACAATCTGGGTCCTCGTTTAACCGACCTCGGAAGGACAGAAGGCTGAGTCAACCTTGAGCCTGGTGATATTCAAACTGCCAAAATGCAAGCAGCCGGAAATCGGCAGAAGTAGCTTGCAATACTGCATTCTAACCACTGTGCCACCGCGGCTCCATTGATGGCCAAATGCTAGACCAGGAAGTTGGCTCGGTTTGGAGTCCCACCTCCCCTTGTCCAGTCGTGTCCAGCTCTAGAGGGCTGAGGAAGCCATCATTGTCCGAAGACATTTTCCACGGTCATGTGGCCATCATGGCTATACGCCAAAAGCACACAGAACACACCTACTTTCCCACCCAAGTGGTACCTATTTATCTGCTCGCATTTGCATGCTTTCGGACTGCTAGGTGCGCAGGAGCTGAGGCAAGGAACGGGAGCTCTCCGCTTCGCACAGCGCCCGGGTCTCAAACCCAGGCTGTCAGCTTTCCAGCTGACAGGCTCAGCATCCTTGATACGTTCGTGCAAAATAGGTCGATCAGGGTTTATCGGTCGTGAAGACTGCACGTTACGTCCCCGATTCGGGCCGTGTCGTTCCAGACACCAGTTAAGTGGGAACGATGTACTGGGAGAAGTGTCCGTCTTGAGCATCCCCAGTGGGCGAAATCAAACACCAAATTAAGGTTTTGCCCCGAGACCACAGGGCAATGCCAAACTTGTATATCACAGTTTGTTAGACCATAGAATGATGGTCTATCTGAGGTTAAGGGGCTTCCTGTAGGCCGAGTTCAGACAACCCACTCCCTCACGGACTACAGGTAGTCCTCAACTTACATCCATTCATTTAATGACCGTTTGAAATCTCGACGGTGCTGAAAAAAGTGACATATCCTCAGACTTACGACCATGGGAGCATCTCCATGTTCATGTGATCAAAATTAGAGCCCTGGGTAACCGGATATGTTTACAACAGTTGTAAGGTTTTAGGATTATGTGGTCAGCCATCACAGCCGGGTTCCGACAAGTAAAATCCATGGAGGAAGCTGGATTCACTTAGCGATGGACCCAGTTCCCAGTTGTGGTCGTAGGTTGAGGATTACCCGTAATTGACTCCATTTAGGCTTCGATCTGCAACCTGGGGCTCGTCGATGTGTGGTGCAAACCTTCAAAATGCAATCGATTGCATAAACTGGGATTAAGTTCTTTGGCAGTTTAGCGGCTCAACTAAGCAGGGGAATATGGCTTTTGTCCACCAGGGGGAGCCCTCAACCAAGCTATCTTTTAGGCTTCTGCAGCCTAGCTTTTCTCCAGTCCTCAACCTTTGGCAATACGGATTCGTCATAAATGTGAATTTTATTTCTTCCTCCTCTCACAAAAACATTTGCAATTGGGGTGTGTGTGACTTTTTAAGGGACCCGAGAGTCCTGCCTCCCACCTTTTGGGCTTCATTTAACAACTGCAATGATTCGTTTAACAACCACAGCAAGAAAGGTCGTAAAAACAGGCCCAAACCACTGACTCGCTTAGCAACAGAAATTCGGCTCCCAGCGGAGGTCGTAAATTGAGGCCTGCCTGCAGATGGCATCCCAAAAAATCCGGTTTCAAAGCAGTGGCAAAATTCAGTACTGTTGCCAATCTCTCATTTCTCTTCCCCACAGCCCTGCGAGGTAGGTCAGGCTGCCCACCTCGTGCCTGACCGTGTATTTTTGAATGACGTACAGGCAGTCCTCGACTTACGGCCACAACCGAGCCCCAAGCTGCTAAGAGTTTTGCGCCATTTTGCGACCTTCCTTGCCGCAGTGGTTAAGGGAAAGTCTGCCGTTAAGCGAGTCACACGGTTGTGAAGTGAATCCGGCTTTCCCACTGAACTTGGCTTGTCCAAAGGACATCACACAACACACACACACGCACACACACTGAGGACACTGCGACCGTCATAACTACGAGTCCGTTTGCCAAGCGTCCGAATTTTGCTCACGTTAACCATGAGGATTGCAACGGTCACAAGTGTGGGGAAAAAAATGGCCCTTTTTCGGTGCCGTCGTCCCTTCGGACGGTCACTGAACAGACGGTCGGAAGGCGAGGACTTACCTGTGTTGTCAAATAAACTGTCAATCAGGGATCACGCAACCCAGGGGCACAAAAACCGAAGGAACCACCTACGGCAGTGACGGCTAACCTTCTGGCTGTCGCGTGCCAAAAGTGGGGGTTGTGCTGGGGGGGGTCACGTGGGCGTGTGCCCAAACCCATAATTCAATGACCCCCATGCCCCACCACCCACACACATGCACGCGATGGCAAAAAGGTTAGTGGTGGGCCTGGTAAACTCGTTTTTCACTTTACCCAGGCTCCAGAGTCTTTCTTGGAGCCTGGGGAGGGCAAAAACAGCCTTCCTCACCCGCCGGAGGCTAGACAGCCCATTTCCCAACTTCCGGTGATTTTCTGCTTTTTTTTTTTGGGCCCCTCCCCCCCCCCCCCCCCCCGCCCCAAGATTTCAAATCTCTGGTTTAAAAATCGAAGCTGGGAGGCAAAGAAGCCCCTTCCTCCATTTGCAGCTGAGTGCTATTGCCGAAAGCAGCTGCGGTTCGATTTTCTCTCCGTAATTACGCTCCGATCAAGCTGTGAGATTAAACATTTTACTCAAGATCGGAGTACCACCCCGCTCTTCGCCCCCCCCCCCCCCCCCCCCCTTCGTTTCCCCGCCCCTCGGCAAGGAAAAACTGCTCCGGATCAATTTGTTAATGGCTCACAAGACATCCAGAGGAGGAAATAAAAATAAAATGTGGGGTGGGGGGGGGGAGAGGGGGAGGGGTGCCAGGAGGTGGGGGGAGGGGGCCGACTGCATGGGGAATATTTGGGTGGTATCCAGTGTGTTAAGTCGGGGTGGGGGTGGGGAGAAGGTGTGAGGTCTCCAGGTTGGGCTAGGGGAGGATGGGAATGGGAGTTGGTGGAGAAGGAGAGGGGGAGAGACCGAGGGAAGGAAGGAAGGAAGGAACTGAGGAAGGAAGAAGGGAGGGAAGGAAGGAAGAAGGAAGGAGAGGGAGGAAGGAAGGAGAGAGGGAAGGGAGTTGGAGTGAGTGGAGGAGGAGGGAGGAAAGAAGGCACCGAGGAAAGGGAGGAAGGAAGTGGAGGAGGGAAGGAAGGAAGAAGAGAGGAGAAAGAAGGAGAGGGAGGGAAGAAGGAAGGAAGGAAGGAGAGAAGGAAGGGAGGGAGAACAAAAGAAGGAAGGAAGGAAGGAAGGAAAGAAAGAAAGAAAGAAAGAAAGAAAGAAAGAAAGAAAGAAAGAAAGAAAGAAAGAAAGAAAGAAAGAAAGAAATGATTCTAGTCCTCATTGTTCAAAAGACTGAGGCTTAAAGAAGATGAGGTTCCCCCAAATTTGCCCACTGATCCATCCCACCTCATTTAACCTGCCTGGTTCCTGCCCCCCCCAACAAGAATCTCTCAGCCGATCTGGGGATTAAATCTTCTTCCTACCAAGCCAGGATACGGTGAAACAGGTCAGAGATGGCCGACACCAATTCCGTCCTTGCCTGTTGTTGTTATTTTCCAGCCACTCCGACGCACAATCACCGCCGGTCCTGCCTGCGGATGAAAGTCTTCGTCTGCTGCCGTTCCCGTGAGTGACCGCTTCCTTTCTCCATTTCCACCCCCCCTCTCGTACCGAAAGCGTTCGAGATCTGTACTACGGAATTCGCACCGCCCTTGAGAAATTCCGGTCCTTTCCCAAACCAAGCTGCTAGTCCTCATGAAGGGCTGAGATTTCTTTTCTTCCCCGCCCCCCTCTCCGTGATTACAAGGCGGCCCCTCTGACCCTCGATACCCGCCTGGGAAAAGTAATTTAATCTTTGCGAAAAACTTACTCCTTAAGTTTCGGATGCAAAATTTACATCGCCTATCGCTGAACTACCGTGCCCATTTGCAGGAGCCTGTACTCGGGCCTTGGGGACAGGAGGGCAGCCAATATCTTGCTGGGGAAGGGTCCTTCTCGTATCCCACCACCCCTGGAAGTAATGCCTTCCCCCCTCTCCTGCCCACAGCGTCGTTTTCTGGGGACAGAGCGGTACCAACTCTTCCGCCATTCACTATAGGGCCCGAAGTGAAGATTGAGGATCTGGGTGAGTGTCCACATTCCTTTGCCCGGGAAAGTTGGGTGGAGGGGCTGGGACTACCCACCCTCAAAAAAAACATATCATCCTGCCTCTCTGCGAATTGGGTCTCTTGCTGGAAGAGGCTGAGGAATCTCCCAAATTTTGTTGGAGGCTCTCAGGTCGAGGACGACTCGCCGCAGCCACTCGCCGCGAGACAATTCAACGCTGTTTTAACAGAATAACAGAGTTGGAAGGGACCTTAGAGGTCTTCTAGTCTGACCCCCTGTGTCAGCAGGGGACCCTGCTTAGTTTCAGACCAATGGTGGTCCAACCTCTTCTTAAAAAAACTCCGGTGTTGGAACAACCCCGCAATTTCTTTTAATCGTTTCATTCAGTGATTATCGGCGACCACGTTTTTGGTCGCAATCCTTCTGGATTGACTTTCTTTTATTCTTATTGTTATTGGCCATGGTTCTGTCGAAATTAATCTTAACTTTTGTATTTGTTGAATTGTCTCACGTTGTTCCGCCATGACTTGGCCGTGGCGAGTTGTTCCCCCCGCCCCGTTCCGCTCGAGGGTTTTGCGCATCCTCGTCGCGATCACTTATCCTATGCGGCGCGGTGTCGAGAAACAGCGTTTTGAGCAGGATTGACTGGGGGAAGAGGGCACACCCTACACTTCCACCTCTGATTTGTCCCCCCTACCACTTTTTAATCCTCTCTCCCTTTCTCTTTCTCTTCCCTCCCCCAAATACAGATCATTTTAACCCCGAGATGCCGAAACTGGAGAAGAGCATCAGCGGGACGAGTCCGAAGTGGGAACATTTGCCTTTAGCCCTGGTGGTGGCTTTCTTCCTTATGATTCTCCTGGCCTCCTAGCTTGTGTGGATTGAGAGGGGGAGGGGGCCCAGCAGTAGCCCCCTCCCCACACGGGCTCGGTTTCCTCCCCAAGGTCTCCTTGGCTGTTGATTGGCGGACAGAGAGAAAGAAACAAAAGTATATTCACCTGTGAAATTTCAGAGGGAGACACACTTGACATGGCTGGGTGGGAAGGTCGGGTGGCCGAAGAGAGCAGCGAGATTTTCGTGGGCATAACTCTCCTCCATCCGGATATCATGATCCCTGCTTCAGCGTCTTCTCCGCTTTCTACCAAACGCTGCGGAACGACCCTGCTTTAAAGGCAGGATCCAGAATTTAAGACACACACACACACACACACACACACACACACACACACACACACACACACACACAAATTGAGGGGGGGAGGGAGGTCTTCTTTTCTTTTCCCTTTTTTTTTTTAAAAAAAAATTATCATTCTGCTATTCCTGAGCGCGGCGACTTTGTATCGCCGTCCTTGTATCCCTATCGTTGTCTCGTCTCGCCCGTACGAGCGGACAAATGGGCGGACGTACCGGCGAGATCGTCCTCGTAAAGGATTTTGGGAGGGTCAAGGACACGGACCATTTGTTAAGCCTGGCCATTTGGGGAAAGGTGGAAGAGGCGGCCAGGGAGTGAGTACCCCGCACTTGGAGAGGGGCATTGCGTCCCCACGGAGCTTTCGATGTCCGAGATTTTTTGGGGAGTCCATGCTGTCGTCTCCCCGGTGCTCATCTCGAGCTCAACGGACACCCGATATTTTTGGGACGCGGGGGATCCTGTACATATCTCGTGTGTGTTCTGTACAGAGAGGCACCGTTATTATCTTGTGTCTATAGATTATATGAAATTGTTCTCGTAACGGGGTGGGGGTTGGCGCGGAACAGGCACCGGCCTGCCTGTTTAAGCCAGAGTCTTTTTTTTTTCTCTTTTTAGGGGGGGTGGTTGTGGGGCAGCTCTTCCTGTCTGTCTTCTGTGAAGACCAAACCTATGCAAGTGGCACAGTCACTTTTTTTTTCTTTCGGGGGGGTGGGGGGGGGGGAGGGGTGGGGGGGGGGGGGGGGGCAAGGTAGTTAGTAAAGGGGCCGGCAAAATCCATGGAAGGAAAAAAAAAAAAAAAGGGCGATGATGATGATAATACGGGGCAAAAAAACCGAAGAAGATTTCTCTCTACGTGTACATGTGTTGGTTGGTTTTACGGCTTATTTTTGTTTTGTCTTGTTTTCTTCTTCATTTTTGGGTTTGGGATTTGATTTATTTTTTTATTTTATTTTTTTGGGTTTCTTTCCCCCTAAAAGAACTTTGGCTTGTGGTTTTCATATACTTCCTCTTAGTCTATTAAAAAAAAAAAATTTAAATAAAAGGCGAAGAAAAGAGAAAAAAAAGACACGACGGAGTGGTCCCTTCCTTTATTTCCATCCTGGCGTCTTCGTTGGTTAGTTATAGATCAGTGTCGGCGAACCTTTTCGGCACCGAGTACCAGAACGGGAGTGCGCACGCATAGGAGTGCCGGAAACCGGAAGAGCAGTTCCCCGGCACGCGCTGAACTTCCGGTTTCTGGCATGTGTATGCGCACCGGTCCCGTGGTCTTCCGGTGACTGGCACGCATGCATGCGGAAAACCAGCTGTCCGGAGCACATGCCGGCGCGCAGCTTCCTGGCGCACAAGCTGCTCTTCCGGTTTCCAGCGCTCCCACGTGCGCGAAGACCAGCTGGCTGTCACGCCGGAACCCGGAAGAGCAACGGGCGTTGGCTGGCGTGCCCGGAGAGATGGCTCTGCGTGCCACTTCTGGCATGCGTGCCATAGGTTTGCCATCACGGTTATAGATCATTGGCTGATGAGGGGGTGGGGTTTGAGGATTTGGGGAGGGGGGAAAACGGGGAGGAGGGCAGGCTTGTTTTCATCGATTAATATCTCATTTTCTCCTTCCTCTTCTTCTTCCTCTCCTTCCGTTTCCTTCTTTCCCTCTTTTTCTCCCTTTTTGTTTCCTTTCCCCTTTTCTTCTTCCTCTTCCTCTTTCTTTGCTTCCCCTTCTTGTTCCTCTTCCTCCTTCACTTCTTCCACATTCTTTCCTTCTTCCTCCCATTCCTCTCCTCTTTCATTCCTCCTCCTCTTCCTCCACCTTTTCTCCTCCTCCTCTGCCTTTCCTTCTTCCCCTTCCCTTCTTTCTTTCTTTCCCCTTCTTCTATTTTTCCTTTTCTATCTCTTCTTTTTCTTCTTGGTCTGATTCCTTCTTTCATTCCATCTTTCAATCCATCTTTCATTCCCTTCCGGGTGCGAAAATGGGGAGGAGGGTGGGTTTTTTTTTTAATCAATGAATATCTCATTCTCTTCTTTCCAATCCCCTTCCTTCTCTTCTTCCTCCTTTTCCGGTTCCTTCTCTCTCTCTCTTTCTCCTTTTCCTTTCTCCTTTCCTTCTTCCTCTTTTCTTCCCCTTTTTTCATCCCTCTTCATTCTCCTTTTCCAGTTCCTCTCTCTCTTTTTCTCCTTTTCCTTTCTCCTACTTCCTTTTTCTTCCCCTTCTCTCATCTCTTCCTCTCCACCTTTTCCGGTTCCTCCTCTCTCTCTTTTCTCCTTTTCCTTTCTCCTTTCCTTCTTCCTCTTTTCTTCCCCTTCCTCTCGTTCCTCTTTCTCCTCCTTTTCCGGTTCCTTCTCTCTCTCTTTTTTTCTCCTTTTCCTTTCTCCTTTTATTTATTAATTCAATTTATATGCCGCCTTTCTCCAGAGACTCAGGGCGGCTTCTTTCTTCTTTCCTTCTTCTTTCCTTCTTCTTTCCTTCTTCCTCTTTTCTTCCCCTTCTTCTCGTCCCTCTTCCTCCTCCACTTCCTTCCTTCCCATTCCTCTCTCCCTCCTTTCATCCTTTCCCCTTCTTCTCGTTCCTCTTCCTCTCCTTCCCACTCTTTCTCTCCCCTCTGGTGTCCTCGGAAAGGGACAAAGCTCCATTTCTCCAGCCCAGAATGGATAAATCTTCCATATTAGGTCAAGAAATCCAAGTAGGTTGGCCACAAAAACGGGACCTGCACAACGTTGAATTATTCAACTCCGGACGGGGACATTTCGATCCGGATTTGTTTCGGTCCAGAGTTCAGGATGAAGGCCGATTTGGTTTTCATCTCTGGATGGAAAAACGAACGAGCCGTTTAGCTGGTGTAATCCGATTAGGTCCCACGCGCTGAATAAATTTGCTTTTCTTTTTGGGAACAGAACAAAGTACAAGACAGACTTGGTAACAAGCGTTTTGATTCTCTGCGGCAGGAAAGGGTCTGAAAATCCCTGGTATGTCTGATTATTCACCGCTTCATTGGAAGGAACGTGTCAAAACCCGACCACAAATTTATCTTTAAATTCCCTTTCTTTTCCTCCGTCCCCAATTCCATTGACAGCTAATCCTTGAGTTACAACAACCGTCTGCTTAATGACCGAGGTTACAACAGCACTGGAAAAAAAAGCACCTTAAACCTCTTTTTCATACTGTTGTAGCATCTCCTGATCCAAATTTGGACGCTCGGCAACTGCTCGTATTTTTAATTTTTAATTTTTAATTGTATTTTAAAATTATGGGTATTTTAAATTATGGGTATAAATTCAGCCAAATTTATTTAATTTATTTTATTCGATTTTAAATTTTGTATATTTATGTGTTTTATTTCATGGCTGTACACCGCCCTGAGTCCTTCGGGAGTAGGGCGGTATAGAAATTCAATAAATAAAAAATAAATAAAAAAATAAAAGCCAGGGGGGAGGGAGGGAAACCGGATTCGCTCAACGACCGCGCCGCTAACTGAACCACTGCGATGATTCGCTTAACCACGGTGGCACGAACGGTCGTAAAACGGGACAAAACTCACTTCGCGAATGGTCTCGCTTAAGCCGTGCACGTTTTGGCCTCCGTTGGGGTTTCATAAGTCCGGAAGCGCCTGTAAATTTTTGCTTTTCTCTTTCTGTTTTTTTTTTTTGCAGCTCTTTGTCATTTGGTTCTCTCTCCTTCTGGTTCTTTGGATTTTTTTTTTTTCATTTAGTTTTGTTTTATCTTATTCATCCAATTCGGAGCCCGCCCCACAAAGCACCACGATTTTTCCGCTTCGATTTTGAGGCATTGTCCGTCCCTTCCACCGTCCCTTAATATCAACTCGCCCATTATCCACGATTGATGATGATCGATCCAGAATCGCTGCAGAAACGTTCAAGGGCAGAGGAGGAGGGGAAGCCTGTTTCAGAATCAGAATAGAGCCGGAAGGGACCTTGAAGGTCATATAGTCTGACCCCCTGCTTTAGCAGGAGGCCATATACTATTACGCACAAATCGCTTGTCCGATCACTTCTTGAAAACCCCCCAGTGATGAAAGGAGGGAGGAAAGGAAAGAAAAGAAGAAGGAAGAAAGAAAGGAAGAGAGAGAGAGAGAGAGAAAGAAAGAAAGAGAGAAAGAAAGAAAAAGAAAGAAGGAAGGAAAGAAAAAGAGAGAGAGAAAGAAAGAAAAAAGGAAAGAAAGAAAAAAGGAAAAGAAAGAGAAAGAAAGAGAGAAAGAAAGAAAAAGAAAAAGAAAAAGAAGGAAAGAAAGAGAAAGAAACAGAAAGAAAGAAAAAGAAAGAAAAGGAAAGAAAGAAAGAAAGAAAGAGAAAGAAAGAAAAAGGAGGAAAGAAAGAAAGAAAGAAAAAAGGAAAAGAAAGAGAAAAAGAGAGAAAGAAAGAAAAAGAAAGAAGAGAGAGAAAGAAAGAAAGAAAAAAAGGAAAAGAAAGAGAGAAAGAAAAAGAAAAGGAAAGAAAGAAAGAAAGAAAGAGAAAGAAAAAGAGAAGGAAAGAAAGAAAGAGAAAGAGAAAAGGAGGAAAGAAAGAAAGAAAAAGAAAGAGAAGGAAAGAAAAAAAAGAAAGAAAAAAGGAGGAAAGAAAGAAAAAAGGAAAAGAAAGAGAGAGAAAGAAAAAGAAAGAAGGAAAAGAGAAAGAAAGAAAAAAGAAGGAAAGAAAGGAAAAGAAAGAGAGAGAGAGAGAAAGAACACCGCTATCGCATCCCCTGTTAGTCCTCCTTTTCTCCAGATTAGCCAAATCCAAAATCTGACACCGTTCTTATGTGGTTGTGCGAAGGCCTATTGTCTCGTTTTCCCGGTCGGGACGCCTCCGGGACGAGCTGGGGAAGACGGTTGGGGGAGTTTCCCCCCCCCCTTTGATCCGGATGACAGACAGCTGGATGAGTGGCAGCGATGACGGAGACGTCTCTGCTACGGATGTGACCTGGCTGGAAACTCGGTTCCCGACAAAATTTTCCTACGACGCAAAACAACCCATCACCTTTATTTTCTCCCTGTAGCTCTGATGAATCATGGAACAGTCTGGAATGGTTCATCCTTAACCTTTTGCACCAACATCTAGAGACAGAGGTGAAGGGGGAGGCCTGTTGTGCAGTCCTCCCCAGCTACCTTTTGCAAATCTTGACGTGTGTCTCCAGGGCCGTTTCACAGCTGATGCAATTTAAATCCGAGTCCTCGTCCCTCTTTTCCCTCATCCAGGGCAGCTTTGGAAAGGCTCCCAACAACCTTGGCGGGTAGGACGTTGTCGAGCCTGCGAGAGAGAGAGATCGTTACCGTCGGACGTACGACGACAAATGGAAGCCAAAGATTTAGCTTGCTGAGAGTAACGTTCGTGGAGTGAGCTTTGGCCCCGTTGGACGGCTTTCCTTGCCACCGTTGTTACGCGAGTCGTTGCCGTTCCTCAGTGAGCTTTGCCCCGTTTTACGGCCTCTCTTCGCCGCCGTTGTTAAGCGGATAACTGCGGTTGTGAAGTTAGTCACCCCGTTGTTAAGCGAATAATGGCTTCCCTCTTCGAGGGTCACAATTCGAACTCGAGGCTTGCGTTTCCTCAACTTGAAACGGAGACAACGTTGGGTTTGAGAGGCAAGCGATGGCTTGCCCAGTTTGGGTGGATGCTGGCAGACTGGTTGGACTGGTCTTGGGAATATAAACAAACACGGCCGACCAGTGGGGGGGTGGGGTGACCAGTGGGGTGGGGGGTGTCTGCTCACCCCCCTAA